TCATCGGCTGAATAACATAATACCCGTGGGTTTTAGACCCTTTAATCTAATTGGGCCTCCAAATTAATAATTGACATAAAAACATAAAATTATACATTTCATTCCAAATTAATAAAGTATTCTTATGCAACGATATCAGAATAAAATATTTAATCATAAAAGGTTTGATTTTGGTTTAGTACCAACTAAATTTTTTCAATTTGGAAAATCGAATTCTATTTTTATTTTTAATCTTATTTTTTACTTAAGAATAACTGAACCATAATTCAACAATCAATTCATCTTCCTTTTCTTAAAGTATATTTACACTGTTTTAATAACTTTGTCAACCATCTTACTTTATTTCTATGTTTTTATTCCTATATTTTTTTATTTATAATATTATATAAGGAGAACTATATTTATTTATCAACATATGAACATATATATATATATATATACACATAGATATATAGATATATTTAAGTTAAAATCATGTCTCATCTATAATGAATATGAAGTTGTCTAGTGCCTAATAAAAGAAGAACCGAGGAAGATGGAATGATGGTTTTGACCTATCTAGTGCATACTACCACAAACCTGTTGTGATGTCAAAGATGAAGGATGAAGGAAGCCATGGATTGGTACGAAGGTAGTGGAAGAAGTCAAATGATGGTGGGTCGTCAAGGAAAAGGTCGAACAAAGAGCTTAGAAAGGCATAGGTCTTTTGTATTCAAATGTTATAGATTATGTATACTCATTTACATATATATATACTATTTTTTAAAATAGATTGTAAATATTATATTTAGATAGATTAGCTATTTTAATGTATAAACTATTAGATTGAAACTAAATTATATATGCATTCTGTTTAGTCCAAACTAAACTTGTAGGTCTAACCTAAATTTAGTTTTGGATACTCTATTATAGTACAATTTATTATTGATACTTTAACACATTATGATAATTAATACAATTGAAATACTTAATAGAAATTTAAAATAAAATGTTTCGTAGATATCATCATTTATGTTCTATATTGATTATTTATTACTTTTTATTTTTTATTATATTTTTAATTATTTATTTCATAATAACTCAACTTTTTAGTTATATATATGTATATACCTCTTTCTTTTTTTTTTCTATAAATAGCTTAAGCAATACATTTTTTGGTGCACTATATTAGACATCTTAATTGATAGATTTATTTGAATTCACATAACAAAGTAGTTATAAATCTATCTATTTAAAATATTTTCTTTATATTTTTTCATTATAGCTTTACTAAAATTAAAATTAACTAAAATTTTATATTAATTATTTAAAAAAAATTTAAAGATAAAAATGCATGAGTAAAACTTTCAACTAAAATTAAAATAAAAATTTTAATAAATTTACAATTCGTGTGTAATATGGGTGAGTATCAAAATAAAAATTTAATTGAGAAAACAATAATTAATAAAAAATAGAGGAAGATAAGGACAATGCAAAAGGAAAAAGGACAGAGTGTACAGACGACGTGTATAGACTGCTTAGAAAGACTGTTCCATCGCTTTTTTGTAAAAAAAAATAAAAAGTAAAAAGGGATTTTATTGAAGGGCACTTTTGCAATTAGCATAAAGAAATAATTTACAATTAGGTCCTTCACTTTTATCTTAATTTGTTAACGGGCTTGTACCCACGTGGAGACCAGACGACAGGCTGCCTTCTAAAATCTAGAGCATCACTGTCTACTCTCGCCTCCGTCAAATTTTCGGTCTCAATATTATAACCAAATATATATAGTATTGTCGGTATAAAACAACATATCCAAATATGGTCAGTGCATAATTCAAGAACGTTAAAAATTATAGAATTGAAAATAATGATTTGATTTTTATTAAATACAGATACAATATATATATATAAATGAAAAACTAACAGTCAATTAAATATTTAAATTCTATTAATTATTTAATTTTTATAATTTACTATCAATCATATAATTAATAAAATTTGTTGTCGTTTACATAATTTGTGATATTTATTTTTAATTAAATTATTGATAATAATTATATAAATACATATTTAATTAATTATTTTAATAAAAATTACATCATAATTTCTTAAAAACTAAATTAAAATTTAACGCATGTAGATGTTACGAATAATAGAATTAAATTAATATTAATAAAAATATATATTAATTAAAAAAAAAGACTTGGGTCTTCCTATTATTTCTATTGTATGTATAAACAAAACTTTTAAATTTAACATGTAGATCAATAATAATGGTGAAAAAAGATTATGTCATTATTAGATTAATTGCTCCTTAACAAGAAACAAAAAAATAATAATAATAATAATAACGAAGAAGAAGAAGAAGAAGATTTGTTATGTCTATGAGCACATGGATCATCCTTATACAATGAAGTTATACATGCATTAATTAAAGTTAAGAAAAGTGATTATGTATATGGTTGAGATAATATGACAAGATAATCCATGTCACTAATTTACTTTTTTCTTTGGGCACCTTGTCTCAAATCATTTGTATAAACTAATATTAGTTGTTTGTAGAGACCGATTAATTAGTTTTGTAAAATAATATTAGAATATAATCATCTTAATTAATTAATTAATTTGTTATGCAATCTTATCCAAAAAAAAAAAAACAAAAAACAAAAAACAATTACACCATCGAATATACATCACATGCATGCAGCATGAAGTTAAAATCGATTTTTCTGGCATAAATTGGAAGAAAATAATTATTTAACTAATATAAAATTATAATTGAAAATAATAATAATAATAGAGAGAAGAGTGGAGTAGAATACACATGGGAAGAGAAGGGAATGGGGGGTGATTAAGGAATTTAATATGGTGATATTGGAACAAGTTCCAGTCCATGTGATTCTCACATGCCTAATTTGATCATTCAGCCTCCTCCCATTTTCTGTCCCTATCACTTCCTTGTTTACATTTATTTTATGTTTTTGCTAATCTATTTGTTACATTGGAAACTATATTAATGTTTCTAGAGTTTCTAGATTTTAACGGAAAATTTTTTAGAAAGAGACAAGGTTTCGAAAGAAAATTGAGAATTAGTCAAATTAAATAATGGATTCAAATTCTATTCATATATAACTTGTAACACCCAAGTGTTCTTATTTTTATTTTGTAATTATTTGAATTTTTTTTTTGAATTTTAATTAATTTAATTTGATTTAATTTTATGAAAATAAAAATAATAATAATGATAAAATTGGGTAAAAATATTATTTGAATTTAATTGAAATTGATTTTGAGAAAAATGGG